AATTATATATGTATATAAACTAGCCCAAGAGTATGTAAAAATGTAAAAATAGATAAAGTTATATACAGTTCATACATTGGCACCCTGTGAAATTGACATTATTAAGGCGAGCACGAAATTGCGCTAAAGTGCTCGAGGATTCGGTTACAGTTGGTAATTGATTCCATATGTGGGCAATCATGTGTAAATAAGAGTTGTGCATGACAAGGCTGTTATAAGGAGGCTGCACAACATTTAATCCAGTGTCTCGTAGATTGTATTTAGTTAGCCGAGGTGTAAAAAATTTGGAAATATAATTAGGGCCATCTAGAGGGCAACAGTATTCTAAATGCGGTAACACGTAGGCTTTATAAAGGGAAATGATAACGTCCGAAGGAACTAAGCGCTTAATCCTCCGTAGTGCGGCTATCTTAGCATACGTTTTTGTCAGCATGATTGCCACGTGGGCCTTGAAAGACAAATCTCGATCCAATGTAACGCCAAGAATATTGAGAGTTGGGTCAATTTCGATGGACTTATCACCAATAAAAAGATTATATGGGTACTGAGATTTCCCGAGTGTCATTGCCTGAGTTTTAGTAGCGTTTACTTGCAGGTAATTCGCAGTGAACCAAAGGGTTAATCTCTCTATATCTTGATTCAGTGTAGATTCTAGTGTGCAGGGGCTCTCATGGGCTATATATTGCGTTGTGTCATCAGCATACAGACGTAGGGAGGAAGATCCAGCTGAGTAATTGACATCATTCACAAAGATATTAAAAAAAGCGGACCTAGAAGGCTCCCTTGCGGTACTCCACAGCGAAGAGGCAGCCAGTCTGACACCTTCCCGTTACATTTTACTCGTTGAAAGCGGCCTGATAGATATGACTGAATCAGTTTTATAGCTGAATCGTGAACGCCGTAAGCTTTCAGTTTTGCTAGTAATAAATTATGACAAATCGAGTCAAATGCTTTGGATAGGTCAATAGCGACCACCGCCACATCCTTTTTATTGTCAAGAGCCTGGCGCCAATCATCAGTTAGCTTTAATAAAGCGGAACAGCAAGAATGCCCACTCAGGAGTCCTGAAATATTATCCGAAAAGACTGGTGTGAATACGCTGTATAGTTGATCAAATTTTAGTTTCTCAAACACCTTGGGTATAACTGATAAGACACTAATAGGGCTTTAATTCGTCTTAGATGTTTCGTCGTCTTTCTTATCAACAGGGGTGACGTTACTAAGTTTCCATTGACATGGCCACTCGCCTACATCAATACAGTAATTAAAAAGTTTAGTCATAGGTCCAGCTATGACTGGAGCGGCAATCTTAAGCAGCTTGGGTGGTATTCTGTCGGGACCAGCAGGGTTCCGAACTTTTAGATTAGAGAGGATTTCAGAAACTCGGGCCATACTAACCGGATGAAAATAAAAATTAATTCTGGGTGCCTTCGTCTTAATATTGACAACACTGGCGTGGCTAGAAAGTTCATCCACGGAAAAGGTTAGGACGGACTCATTAATTGTTGGAGACGTAAAATATGAATAACATACAAAACCAGAACGTATTCTCGACTTCTCACGGCCATAAAATTCATCTAGTAGCCCTTGGGTCTTTTTACGGACCAAAATAACACATTTCCCTGTCCTTTCATATACTTCAACAAGTGAAATCCTAGAGCTGATCCTACTCTATCATATACCTGAACCTGAAAAAAATAATAATAAAAATACCTGAAGCCTGGAAAAGGCCCAAGCCTTTCCGGCGGAGCCTCCTCAGAAAAGATGACATTTCCATTTCGATTTGTTTCAACACTTTATATATTACTGTTTTACATAATCAATTTTGTTTACAGAGGTATCAAGGATGTAGTGTCACCACACCCGAGGAGTTCCTGTTTGTACAAGAGCTTAGAGAAGAGGGTGACCATAGATATTTTCGGTACAAACCGGTCGACAACCCATCCATGTGCCTTGGCAAAGATATCAACTGTAATTCCCCTGAGAAACTATCTCTTGTCGAGAGTGGAAGCAGTGCTGCAGACAAAGTTCAAAGGCGTTGCCTATTTAAACGACATTTTCATTAAAGATCGAAAACAGGGCTAATATCACGCTATTTGTTATCTTTTAAAAAGCTAAAACATGTGTGCAAATCAATTGAAAATAACGTTCCAGTTATCTTATTTTCGACTAAATTGAGGCATCGAAACTGTTTCCTGTCGTCAGTTGCAACAGATGGCAACGATGGACATGGATGACGTCTGAAAAACGAGCGCAGAAACTCCATAATGATGACGTATCGCTACCCCAGATCTGGGAAATGATTTTGATTGGTTGAAGAAAATTTCCCACGTGGTACTACCAATCAGAGGCACTACCCAGATCTAGCTAGTGACACGTCATCAGTATGGAGTTTGTGGGCCAGGCGTTATTTCACGCGAGAAGCCAGTGGTGGCGTCGCGTTATCTCGGCTGTTTTCTCATGATGAAGCTCGCCTAAAGCAAAGACTAATATTAAGGACATGATAATCATGTCGTGCAACTAGCAACAGCTGTGTAACGATGCCAGTGGTATTATGCATTTTTTACTTATTTTTTAAGAAATTAAAGTTGAAACCTAACATTTCGTTGGAGAGAAAACTTTATTGGGGGAAGTGGGTGTCGGGACGGAGGGGGTAGGGGTGAGTGGGAAGAGGGGAGTTAGAAGGAGAGGTGGAGAGATTCCTAATTATTTGGGCGTCGCCCAAATAGGGTAATCGAGTTCGCTTGTTTTGATTCAAAGTTGCAATAGGCACGCAAGACGTGCAAACGTAGACAAGCCCATTAAACAAGCCAAGCGACGCGAATGTCTGCCGGCGCGCTGTGTCACAACACAGCGTTTATCTTCGTTACATACGACCCACAGATAGCGCACGGCAAACAAATCGGCAAAAGAAAATAAACTTTTTGGAAAAACAATCGAAAATGAGTGAAACAAACTGTTAAATAATTAAAATTTTCCCTTTGGAAAATAATGGTCCTCGCAGCACATGGTGTGAATGGTTTGGCTTACTGTCAAGAGATTGACAATAATCAAACTCGTGCATGAGACAGTTAAGGGTAATATTGAATGATGCATAATTTAATTGCAAATTTTCGGAAAGGAGGTGATTTCTGAAATCTTACTGAGCAAAATGACCTCGTAAACAAGTTGCATTCTTTCACGGTTGAACCGTAAAAGGGGCAGAGTCCAACATCTTCACGTGCAAACCGCGTTCTATTTTTAAAACCCTTGGGTTAATTAGATTTAGTCGTATTCTCTCATACACGAACCACAAAAGCGGTAAATTCGAAAGCTTTCACGTGCAAACTGCTTGACAATCCAGTGCGGGATCCACAGCGTCTTGTTTAAGGACGAAAAAACCCTTGTTATCCTGGTTAAAGCATGAAGGTTTCTTATCTTTTCTTAATGCGCAAAATGATCAACCTTTAAAGACTAGAAACAATTGGCTAAGATGTAAAAAGATACCTTTTGGTCTCAAACCAGGCTCATTGTAAAAGACGGTACTGAAGAATGAAGAGGGCGGGGGGAGGTGGGGGTACCAAATCACAGAGCTTGCCTCGTTTTGGTCCAAATCTCATTCCCAGTGGCTGTTTGCAAATTGATACACGTAATTAATTAAAAGCAGTTTGATCTTTTCCTCCCAGCTTGCATGTCATTTTATCGACATCAAAAACGGCTGAGCAAGGAAACTGACAGAACTTAATTACGGAACCATGTGGAAATTGTTAACTAGAATTTAGGCTCCTCTCCAGAATTGTATTTCTCTAATTCAAAAAGCTGGATCGTTTCTTCAGATATATGAAATCATAGGGTCGCACTCCTCTAAAACAAGAGAAATTCCGCTCCCATTTACAAATTTATTCGTCCCTTTCCCAGTGGTTAAATGCCAGTCCCTTCAGGACCCTTTTAGAAAGCCTGTATAACCCCAGGCTCCTCGGTAAACTTTGCAAAACTGGTTAACCCTAGCACGTGTTCTATGACCAAGGCTACGAAAGGCACAGGTTCAAGCATGTTTAAGTTGATAATTTATTTCATTCTATTTTCTGATTCATGCTACAACGTTAGTCAATATTACAATCAGTCTTAATTTGTGTCATACCTTTTCAGTAGTATTTACAAGCTTACAAGGGTTAAAATGCACCAACACTTTCTTTCTACAAACATTAAAACTAGATGAATGTATTATGCACACATGCGACATTGTATGATAACAAACTAGTATTTATTATTGGTAGGATAAATTACGTGGTTCCTTGGTCCTACTCCCGCTGCAATTTGCAGAATTTGTGTTAGTATATACTATAATATGCATAGCATAATATACTTTTTTACCGGGGCGTGTTTAAGAAAATTTTAGGGGAGGATCCGCCACGAAGTGCAGCCCCTTATCCTTTTATTTATTATTTATGACAAAAAAGATACCCCTTTCATATACCCTCTTTTAACAAACGGTACTGCTTTCGCTTACCTAGTTTAGAACTTTGCATCCCTTCAAACTGCTGTAAATGCACTTTCTTTAACATATAGGTAAATCACAAAACCAGTTTTATGTACTTAATCACTGGCCAAAAATGCATCTGTAAGCCCCTTTGGTCATTTTTAGAGACCGAAATGACAGATTTCTTTACCCTTTAATATGCTTCAACTATTAATCCCTGCCCTTTCATATGTTTGAAGCCTAAAATAGATACCCCTTTCGGGCGGAGCCTCCCCGTATAGGCCATTACCGACCTTAAGCAAAGTCGACGGCGATGTCAACTAGGACAGTACAAAAGTAATACGTTTAGGTTGGCAATGTGTTGATCACCAGTTGGTATCGGCAGCAAGAAGTGGTATTTAACTGAAATCCGCCGGCGTTATCCAAAAGTGATACTTGTCTAAGCAAATCTCATTGCTTCTCAAGTTTTTTTGTCGTCGAAGTACTTACGAGTACCCCAGATAATTAGCGAAGACCACCCAAGAGTATTGAAAAGTGCTTATTAGTGCATTACGTGCCGTTTTTTCTTCAAGCTAAATCCACGTGGCTTACTGTAACGTGATAAAGGCACCTGAAACCGTTTTGCTGCATAGGCATAGTTATTCTTCATGTAAGCTAGCTGAGGAGTCCTTCTTGGTATGAAGGACCTTTTCAGGGAACCCGGGCCACAACACCTATGAGGACACTCCAGAGCACAGATATCAGCGCAAATCTTCGGACACCCACTTAACGAAATGTCATTCAACTTTGGCTGTTGTCCAATGCGTTGTCCAATGCGTTGTCCAATGCGCTTAACCAATGGCGGATGAGGACCACAGCAACGCCTAGGACACACTTGTGCGCATTTCTTAAAACAGATTGGCAGACAGCCATCTACCATGTCGTTAAATCGTTGACAACATACAGGTTTGGGACATGTTTGTTGACACGTCTGAGGACTTGAACATATGGGTGACTGGCAAGTCACTGGCGCTGGTGTTGTCGGTTTTGGCGTTGGTTTAGCTATGAAAAAGAAAACATTTGGAGCAGATGAAGTATCTGGGTAAGTGACTACCTACCACTCCCCTAAGTCATCACTAACACTTAATTCTCACTAAGGGCAAAACTGTGACTTAGGGGAGGGGTAGGTGGTCAGTTATCTAGAAACATCGATAGATACAAACTTTCTTTACCGTTACAGTTTGGAGTTAGTGGCTTCCTATCTACATTTTCTGGTCTCTATACAAGGCAGGCCCTTCTCTAGGAGGGACCGTGTCCTTTTTAAAGAACGTTGTCAGTAAGCTTTACTAATTCAAATTAAAATGATAAAAGTTGGTTGACGTTCACATACAATAAACTTTTTTTTACATAGAACGGATTACAAGAAAGGTTTAACCCAGGATCAATCAATCTCCACCGGCTTACAATACACGAAACAAGTAATGAGAAAATCGAGGGTGTGAAGTAGACCAATCACAAAATATTCCCCTGTTTAACATATCCTAAACACTGCCGATTCCAGAACTTGAGATATGGAGGGGGGAAGGGGGCCTGGTCCTCCAGACCCTTTTTTCGGCCCTTCGGCCTCAGTTTGGTCTAACAATAAGGGGGGCGGACCCCCGGTCCCCTCCCCTGGATCCACCACTGCTTAATATAAGAGCATGGATGGTACTCACGCGTTCCTGAGGTTTTTGTTGGCGTAGGGGCCACTGAAGGTTTTGTGACGGGAGACTGAGTACCAGATGTACAACAACTCTATCAAAAAGTAAAAATCGTTTTGAGTTAGGAAAGCCGGTTTTACTCTTTTGCTCTTGAGACGTAAAGGGTTAAATAGTATGCACAACATTGACAAGTGTTGAAGAAACTCTTTAAAAAGCCTATCTTATTTTTTAGATTGACCGGTCCGGCCTGCCCGTGTATTCCCACCTGCTACTGACCGATTTGTTTAACCCTTTACGTGACCAGCATTATGGTATGTTATGGTATTTTCTGGAGTGGTCAATTAGTAATGGTAACAGGACTGAGTGGAGTCCAATTCGGTCTGTAATCATTCGAGTGATTAACAAAATCGGACGACCGCGTAGCGGGAGTCTGATTTGCTTAATCAGGAGTATGGAGTATACTTACAGACCGAATTGAACGACACGAAGTTCTGTTACCAATTAATCATAACTTTAACAAAATTTGTGATATATAGGGCTCTTTTTAAATCAAAACACAAGAAATTCTAAGATTTTTCAGCTAGCAATGAAAAAGAAAAAGCCATTTAAGCGCGCGCGTGATGGCGCGTACTGTCCAATTACTTAGGCATGACGCGTACTGTCCTATTAAACTGTCCTATTAAGGCTGAAATCAGGGCAGTTGAGAACCAATCAGATTTGAGAATTTTGTTATAGTTATGATTAATAGAATGATCACATAAGGGGAAATGCCTTGATCGTTTATCAGTTCTCTCAAAAAACGTCTCCCAGAAAATGTCACGGAGATCAATCGGGAGAATTTGTGTCCCCAAATTAGTATGGGGTTATTCCCAAGCTATACGGCTCCGACACATTAATAAAGTTTTCTATTCTGTTATATTCTATTTGGAAAATGGGGCTTAAAGTCTCAATAATTCATCCTTACCTGAGGACATGGTGTTGCGCATACTTTTGCACAGTTTGCAGGACAGGACGAGGGAGTTGGAGTGGCTACTGCACCAGGGGTTATTGCAGATGGTTTGACTACTTGCACCCCTGTTATGTTGGCACTGCAGCATTCCTGAGGGCAGACTGTCAGACAGAACTTGAGGCACATTGGAGCACAGGCTTTCTTTGGCTTCGTTGCAATGGGTTTGGCGGTAGTTGCAGGGCTGCCAGTCCCGCAGGGGTATCCGGGATATCCAGAGTATCCGCCACATAAATTCTGACTGTAGGATGGGATTGTCATGTAACTTGGCGCTTGAGGGGCAGGATATGGCATTGGATAAGGTGCAGGATAAGGCGCAGGATATGAAGAAGACATGGGCGTGCAGCACTGTGGAGCGCAAGCAGTGTTGCAAGCAGGACTGGGCCGGGGTGGAACGGGCCTAGGAGGTGCTGGTTTAGGTTGTGGGGCAGGAGCAGGAGCAGGAACAGCCGGGGCCGGGGCAGACATACAGCAGGCTGGAGCACACGATGGTTGGCACGTCTGCATCTGAGGGTAGGAAATAGGCATGGGGGGTGGTGGTGGAGGGGGATAAAATACCATTGGAGGAGGGGGAGGGGGAGGAATCGGAGGTGGTGGTGGGTACACGGGAGGAGGAGGAGGAGGAAGTGGCATCCCTGGATTACTCATGCCTGGCAGACAACATCTGTGTTGGATACATATTGGTGTGCACTTCTTCCAACATTGTTGTAGACATGCTCCGCCCATAGGGGACATGGGTGGCATTCCAGCTTGGGCGGTGTTGTACGGGTGCTGATAATATGGCTGGTACCTCTGAGCATGCTGGTACCCTGGATACGGGGGACGAGGTGCGACAGCGGGTCTCTGGACCTGAGCAGGGCGTCTAGCTGGAGCAGGTGCTGGCTTGTCTTGGTGTGTTTTAAGGTTCGGTTTGGAAGCGTCTTTATGAATCTTGCGAGTATTTTTCTGTGGTGGATCGGCTGAAAGAATAAAAGAAAACAATCAGCTAACCCTGACCCGGTCACGGGTTTAATTATATTTGTCTATAATAATATAATGACTGGAAGACCTTAAAAGAATTGTGAAAAGTTATCCGAGATCAGAAAATGCTTTCGAATAATCTTAAAATTTGACATCAGGTTACCGCTAATCGTCAGTAACTGCCACCAGTAGTTGTCAGTCATGAACCCACTCAATTACATGAGCTGATAAGGTTGTTTTAATGCCAGCTAGTGATAGATCCTCTAGAATGATACATTTCACTAACACTAAAATCTGGGCCCAGTTGTTCGAAGGCCGGATAATCAATAACGCATACAAATTCACCAGACTCATCTTCATACATTTCCTTGAAGAATTAGTACAGAGAATTCTGTAAAAGATCAAAGGATTTTCCTTTAGCTGACCATTCTAGTAATCCTCATAATCTTTTTTCTTCGTTATGCATTTATATCTTTAGGAGAAAATCGTTGTTGGTCATTCTTGGGACTTAAAGATTTAATTGAATGAAGGAATGAATAGATGAATAAATGAATAAATGAATGGCTAACTGGATTCAGTGGCGGATCCAGGGGGAGGATCTGGGGCTCCGGACCAACAGCAGCGGCGACCGGCATTCACGAACTGAGAAATTCGTGGTTGTCTCTGTGAGAAGTTATTTTGCCAGGAGAAAAGTTCAACAGTCCTTTCTGAACCAAAGTTCGGACCCCGCCCCTCCCCAACCAAAATAAAAAGTTCCTGGATCCGCCCCTACGATAGCCGACTAGCTCTGCTTAATTACTGGCTAATTAAATATGTCATTAACTATGTCATTGCCATTAACTATGTATCACCCTTAAGCTTCTCTTTCTGCTTTTCGTCTTCCTTTCTTATAGCGTCCTCAATCTTCTTTTCATCTCCTTGCTTTTTATCCTCTTCTTTCTTCGTTTTGTCTTCTGTTATTTGTTTCACATCATCCTCTATCTTTTTTATTATTTCTTGCTCTTTACGGCTGTGTTTCTTTTCATCGTCCTGCTTCTTTTCATTCTTTTGGTTATTAGATTTGTCGTCTTCGTTGGTATTTTTCTCAATCTTTTTCATTATTTCTTGTTCCTTACGGCTCTGTTTCTTTCCATCCTTTTGAGAATCAGATTTATTATCTTTGATAGCTTTTTGTTCCATCTTTTTGTCATCAGTCTTGTCGTCTTTAGTTCCGTCTTCCTCCTTTTCTGGTTTTGCGATGTGGCTTCTTGCATCTTCCAGTCGAGAAATTTGCTGCAGAGCTGGCACACTCCTGCTGAACTTTCCTGAGTAAATGAAATAGCGCTTACAAATTTAAAAGTGCCCAAAGTGTTTCTCCGCTTTGTTGATTGATGCACAATAGAGAGGAGAAATGTGACGTCACGTTACCATGGTAGCAAATTTCTGATTCTAAACAATTTTCCTTGACAGAGGCGGCCTTTTGAGTTGTCGAATGATGGATGTAAACATGGAATGGAACACTGTTGAGATCCAGAAATTTTGCTATCATGGCAACACGACCCTTTGAAGCAGTCACCAGGTAAGCAAGTTCACGTGTAACTTCTTCGCTTACGATTTTCCGCGCTGACCGGCTGTATCTGCTTACAGTTGTTTTTAATTTCCAAAACTCTCTCATATAATTTGTTCAAACTTTCCTACAACCGAGGCAACTAAGGGAGGTACAAGCGATTTCTGAAAAAAAACTCCTAGAACCAAGAAATACAAAGGCAAGTGAAAAACGTAATGGCGTCATTATGTTGCCATGGTAACTCGATGTCAATAAAACATGGATCATAACAAATTTTCGTCTTTACATAGTGCAGCTGTGGTAACGTTTTTGCGCTATCTTTGTTAATACTGACGCAGTAAACGTTCAAAGCGGGGAGTTATACTCCCTAAAAAATCTAGTCCAGCCACCTAAAGCGGTTTTCAACAGGCCATTTTCAAGATGACGTCAGTTGAATAAAACTTCCAGAGTTTAATTCAGTTTTGTATCATACTTAGGTGACTGTTATTTATACAAGATTTGTTCTTTCCTGATTGTCTTTTCTCCCCTTTTAGCAATCGTATTTAGAAAAATTTAGAAACGTAGCTTATTTTAATTGTTTTTCGTACAAACTGCTTCATGTGGTAATGTATTATAATCTCAGCCAAAAAAGGAGGGCTTATTAACTTTCAATTCTTCCCCTGAAAATGGGGACTTATTTGAGAGGGGGGGCCGGGGGGCGCTTAATAGAGGATTTACTGTAATTCAAACAGTTTCTACCCCTAGATACTTGGCCTTGTGTTGTAAATCATGTAACACGATTTGTTGCGATGTGTTTTGAAAAGAAACTGAACAAAATATTATGTGAAGTAGACGAATTGGACGCAAAGATCAGGAAACATTAACGACAAAATACAGTGACCATTTAAGTAAATGCTAACCGCCAGATTCACTTTAATACGACCGTGTTATTTATTTTTGGCTTTAGGTACTTGTAGGCTTCATTTGTTCAAAAGGGTGAATATTAGTATTTGCCGGATTAATCTCTACTTAGGGCCCTCTTATCCCACCTAAGCGGGTGACCTGACCTACCTGGGGTTCCACACCTCCTTGTAAACAGGCCCTTATAATTAGTGGTAAACATCCGCTGGATAGTTATAAATTAAAGTTATTCAACACAGCTGTCAACAGTTAATGAACAACCAGGGACAAGAAACTATGAAGGGCTTCTTTCGTTTTTTTAAATGCGTTGCCTCGTCCGAGAGAATCTCTCGCACTCTCCTGTTTTTCACCGGCTCAAGAAGTAAAATTAATCCACGAATAATTATCTATAAAGAACACAAACTTGGTTTGAATACTTGCACTCAAATGTACCCCGAATCCAAACTTAAGGTCCCGTATAAATGAATCACTGAAAACCACTATACCACTCAGTAAATATATACGATCACTACCCAGACAATCAACAACGCTCTTGTCGCTTTGGATACTGGCTTCTTGATCTCGGTCTTTACGTCCAACAGGTGTCAGTGCTATTGATTGCTAACATTTGCCAGATCCTTAACCTGCCCCAAGGTCCGGTAAGTGTGAGCTCTTATCATTAAACTACAAACTACTGTAAGATAGATAGGACAACTAACAAATATCAAGGATTCTGTCATGATTGTTTCCCGTCAACGAGACTGCGTTTTTTCCAGTTAAGGACTTTAATTTGTGTTCGCCACTTTTTTAGAGATCTATTCTGGGACACATCCCAAGTCACTAAATTATTGTATTTTTTACTTTTAGCACTACCTTGAAAGTTGACAATTTTTTTCTTAGTTATGCTCAATATATTTTTGTATTTAAAATAGTTCCTTACAGAAATGGCCAAAATCTCGATAGCAATGACATTATGAAATAATTGGACTAAAAAGTGAATATTTTAGGGTGAAGTTTATGGCATGGAATAACTTGTTTCACGGTTAATAAATTACTTATTTCGCGTACCTGATTCACGATTGTTTAACTTTTCAGACTTCAGAAGCGTGACCGCAAAGCACAGCAAAATCGCTGAAGCAAGCCAAACCCGGGTCATCTTGTCGATCTTTCAGAACATCTGAAGCGAACAAAAAAAAAGCGCTAAGTTCACCTTACAAGTGAGAAATTTACAGGTACCAAATATGGTCACTAGCACTCCTTTGTGGTGTCAAGAGACGAAAAAGAAATGAAAATCAAAAATCACGCCTCAGATACTCTTTTTAGAATATAAAACAAAAATCCCCAAACTTACCAGTTATTTTTTCGTTTCCTCGTACAGCTAAGCTTGCAGTGAAACAACGTCACGCATCATTGATTTTGAAATGCATTACGACATTTCTTTTAAAACGGTGATTGTTGAGTTGAATCCTAAAGGTTACTTGAATAGTTTATCACAGAAAGTGGCGGGTTGTTTATCTGTTTACATAAATGTTTGATAACAAAATAGCTACAAATTGCAGCTAACTTGTCAATTTTTGTTCACTGACGATCAAAGAGAAGACAAAGAAGTTGTTCGAAAATTAACTTTTGAGCGTAATCCGATTCAGAATCTAAGTTTTTACTATAGAAGATTAATTCTTGTGTGCTCACCTGGCTGTAATCGGAGCAAGGAGAGGTTTGTTTGCCAAAAAGAATGTGTCCCAATAATAGTTTCTGCTCACATAACCTTCATTTGATTTGAACTTGTACCTCCAAGACCCAAAAGTCGTCTGGAGCAACTTTTAACAGAGAGGAAAATTTGCAATAACCCTTAGTAAAATTCTTGTTTTATCTTTAAATTTGAAGCTTAATACAATCCAAAACCGCGAAAGATAGTTCAAACGGGTGAGAATAATAATTCATGAACATCTGTTGCTAGTGGGAAGAAGCTGTTTCTGTTCAAAGGACAAAGACGTAGTGCAAAAGAGTGGAGCACACCGCCAACAACGTTTGGAATGTTATGCATGTTAAAAGCTTGCCAAAGTCACCTCCGTCGGCCGCGGCCGAAAGAAGCAGTAGAAGTAATCCGACGCTTCTGAATCCTGCAGCTACAGAAGCAAGAACGCGATGTTCAGTAGACGTACAGTCTCCCCCGTAAGAGACACTTAGTTTCTTCTATCTAAAACGACTTTCAAAGAGCTTCGGGAAGGATTCCGGCAGAATGAAGATGAGGAATCAGTTCGGTTTAAATTTGTACTTGATATGAAGCTGCTTATGGCCGTCCATCTAAATTTATTAAACAGAAGTTAAGAGATTACTGTGTTGTTACTATCCTAATTAGCCTTGTTTACTCAATTGAAAAATGTAGAATAACAAAATGGTAGACACACTGAAGAAAATCAGAACTCTTAGAACTCTGTGCAGTTGATGTTCAAGAGGCCAATATATGAGACCGAGACAAGAAAAGGCATTTTCATTTTCCAAACTACGTTTCTTTTGGCGAAGAAACGCTGAACGAAAATAAAAACTGTAGAATCTGAGACGAGGGTAATAAAAACTTATCCAAACACTCGCAAAGACTGGTACAACTTCAGGGCTTTCAGGGCCATTGATTTGAACAAACTGTCGCTCAAACCCGGCCTTTGACAGCTTAACTCAGACTGATTCAAGGAAGTGGAATCGGGTGTTCAACACTCACAAACGATGTTGTTAGATGTTTGCTAGCCTGCGTCGCAGACGTGATCTGACTCCTGTTAGTAACGTCTGCGAAACAGCGCCGAAATACTTATTCTCGGCCCCCAAGGGACTCAACCAATTACCGGAAGCGTTTCGAATTTCCTCTCAACCTGATTGGCAAATCAACAATGGCCTTTTTAACAGGCCAATCATGGTGCATACTCAAATCCTGGTACACAGGTGAGGACCTAGAACAAGAATTTCGGCGCTGTTTCGCAGACGGACATAACCCAAAGTTTGGGTTGTGGTGCAGGCTAGATGTTTACAAGACGAGTGATGTTAAGCCAGAATCTCTTCATTTTTGTGGCTGTTCATTTTCTGCCTTAGATATGATATGACGCTTATGATATATGATGATTATGATGATTATGATATGACGTCGTAACTGACATGGGGAAAATGACGTCTTTCGTTTTATTTTCCTAAAAAAATGTCTAGCATGTTCATAGGTAAGGCAGCAAATTAAATTACGATTGTAAGATAACTTAACCCACGGGATTGCAAAATTCAACACTATTTCAATGAATCTTAAGTTTCCATAAATTTGGACGGCGAACATGTTTATTGACGTCACGGCTATCTTGCAAAGCCACGTCCCATCATATTTACAAAAACTTATAAAACGCCTTCTGCTACAAGAATACTTTCCGCCTGGGCAATGACGGGATAAACAATTTAAAAATCCAGGATGTCTAGATGTCTAAATATTTATATGCAAATTGTCCTCATTGTTATGTTTATATTGAAAGGGAGGCGATTGAAAGTCCATAACCTAACAACAGCAGCACACGAGAAAATACCTTACCTTAGGAGCGATCTCAGTGTCGGGAATATCGGAACTACAGGTCCAAGTGAATATCATGCGTAAGATTATTAACAATGTAAAGTTTATATACTAGATTAAATACGACGTACAGATTATAAACACCCATACAGATCAGACGCAATTGTGAAATGGTCCAATGAAAAGATCATCACAGAGCTGTTTAAAACGTTAGTTTAAAATTAATACTAAAATAAGGTGAGCAGGCGTGTGTATCAAAAATTAGTTCTAAACCCAGTTGATTTGTATAGGGGTTTACAGAGGTTACAACACTAGTATGACATTATTAATCGACTATACATTTAAAGTTTTTTAGTTGGATTCATCCAACTTATCCTCAAGGTTTTTCCCTCAGCTTGTGAGGATCAAGTACGGCAAGCAGTGTTAGATGGCAGAAATGAACCATTTTCAGTTAAATAGCCCGGCCAAGGGCATTACCCTATGGGAAGGGGACTTCCTAGTAGTAGGCTAATGAATATGTGCCGCTGGATGGGGTCGCATTTTCACGACTGGATTGACTATTATGGGGTTGCATTTTTATAAGAGTTACTAGAATGTGGTCGCACATTTTCAGGATTTTGGGGGTAAGAAAATTCAGGTATGTTGGGATTTAAAAATAGAAAGATTTACACCTCATTAACATGAAGTTTAACAAATGTGTTAGCTCATTTCAGGATGACCCATTTAAAAGCCTTTTTAAGGTAGATGTATAAACAGAAAGTGACTAAGTTGGGATTGTGAAATTACTTTTTTCCCAAAGTGACTAGGATGAGGTCTATAATATGGCCACACAATAGACTATGATAGTGTAGGAGTTCTGAGAGACCAGCGGCACATACTCAGCAAAAACTAACTCAAGTAACCGCCCGGGGCATTACCCTATGGTGTACTAAGGGTTGTGAGGTTCTATCTTTTTTAAGACCACAAAATTCAGTAACCTACAGCACTTTATTGAAATAAACAATGTAATAATTACATCGTTGGAATACCATCTCGGATACCAAGCAATAGGTGTTTATACCGTATGTACAGAAATGTCCTTTTGCAGACCATTAAATGAGATAAAAAGAATTCAATTTTTGCTTCATGTTGCTCCATATCTTTCATCGTGACCTGCTTGCTTGTTTAATTGATGGAATTCTTAAACTTTCATCTAATCTCCTCGCTTGCAGCAAATCGGAGGGCAGTTCTGAGCGCACGTTGGAGGGGCACACGTAGGGAGGACAAATCATCGGCGGTGGGGGGGGGGGAGGAGGCGGAGGTGGAGGCGGAGGGGAGGAGGTGGTGGTTCTGGACAACAGGTGGGTGCACATGATGGTTGACAAGTTTGAACTGGTGGGGGGTGGTGGTGGTGGGCAGCAGGTTGGTGCACATGACGGTTGGCAAACTTGAACCGGTGGAGGAGGTGGTAAGGCCATTGAGCTTGGCAGCAGCTTGGATCACATGTAGGAGCGCATGTTTGCATGCACATCGGAGGGCAGGGAGGAGGGGGGGGGGTGGCTCAAGAGGGGAGGGGGATGGCAGGGCCAGGTTCGTATCGAGGACGTGGTACCCAGTGCTCCGGGCCTGGCCGAAGGACACAAGGTGGCTTACACAGAGGCTCAGCTGAATAAGAAACGAGAAAATCATGAATAAATAAATAAAATGCATAAAAATCACTAAATAGCAAAATTTATTTCTCGAAATTTGAATATTAAGTGAAACGTCTTCTTTAAAATTCACTTTCTTTTGTCACTACTACAACAAGAAATCAGTTCGGCATCAGTCTTGGCGGCGTGGTATATGATAGCTACAACGCAATTTTTTTCCATTCAAGGAATAGTTTGTCATCAGCCATTGTGGTTTGACGGACGTTTTTTTTAACATGCGCTGCCCTCAAAGCCTTACGCTCTACAGCCAAAATATTTATTGTAATATCATTATTTTAGTGGCGAGCGAAGCGACGAGACAAGACTGTACAAGACAAGACAGGACTGAGCAAAGGACGCTATCCCCCGACCATTGTTCTCGAATCCCCTTTGCGTGCCACTGAGGAGTGACTTTTTACAACGTCTCCTGGTTGAGAGCTTGATCGCAGGCTGACTGCATGGCAACTGGAGAACAATCTAAGCGACTTACCAGGTGGTGGTTTTGCTGCTTCTTCTCCACTTCCGCTTTCGCCTCCACTTCCGGATGCAGCTTCATCTGATTATTAAAATTGTTCGAAAATGTAAGGGGCTGTGGACCCAATCCGTAGAAATCCTCTCATTATGAACAGTTACAGCGAGCCTCGTACAGGTAGGACAAGGTTCTGCGAGCTCCACCAAACATGCTGTTCTAAACGTTTTTTAACGTACCTGTCATGGAAGCCTATAAACTGATATAACAAAAAATGGGAAAGGACAAAGCGGGCAAGAATCCGACAAAGGGTGAGAGAAAATGGCTCGCAATCGGATGAAGACGATGAACACGTGGGCCTCGGTGGAGCAATGTCAGCACGCCTCGAATGAAATAAACACTTAACTAGATCAAGTTTAAACAGCGTGTGGTTTTATATTAAACTACTAAACCTTGACATGCTGGTTTCAATTCTGTGAGAAAAAAGTGGAGGGACAAACTTCCTTTTAAGTACTTAACGCTAAGATGAAGGGGCAAGATAAAAAGGCTACTTCGTTGCTATAGTAACTTTTTATATAAAAATGGTGCTGATGTATTCACCAGAAACTGCATTTATTTGCTGCTATTACTGTAGCATCAATTGAAAGAGTTGATCGATCAAAATAGAAATGGTGAAAATGCTACTGTGACATAATGAGCCACCTTAAAAGCTTGTTGGTTAACTCGAGGTTCTAAATTAGAGGAAAATGCGGTATTTACCAAATCGATTTACCATATACCCCTGGTTTCCTCCTACCTTGCACTTTTTTGTATTATATTTGTCCCGAGCAGATTTTCTTTAAATCTAATTTTTTGTTCAGTTTACATACCTTCGAAGTAGTAATTTTTGGCAAGCTTTCCTCTCTTCGTAGCCTCTATATTACTCCCTGCAATAAAAGAGAGCAACAAATTAACAAATCAACTTAGCAAAAGCATTCAGCAGCCTAAAAGGGAAATGGAAAAATGTTTTTTCCAAAAGTTGAGAGGTTCTCCGTGATTCAGTGAAAGAAAACTGATCGCTCCATGTACTGGAATCTGGATTCCCGAATCTTGGAAATTTTTGCTTGTGAAATCCGGAATGCAAGGCTTTGGGCTCCAGAATGCTGCTTTAGGAATCCGGAATTCCAATAACGAATGGAATCCAAGTTCCGCTGACAAAGATCTGTACTTGGCTGGAATCCGGAATCCACGGCTTGGAATCCGGAATCCAAGAAGTAGACTGTCTTGTAATTCCCTATATGGGGCGAAAGGGAAGTAAAAGGGAAGTAAAAGAATCACACGGTGCATTCTGAATATTTTCTTACCAGAATCCTCGGTGTCTGCATCATCTGTATCAACGGCTGTATCTGTAGCTTCATCTGAATCATCGTCTGTTAAGTCAGTGCTGTCGCTGTCGATCTCATCTTTTGATTCTAGGTCATTATCTTCTTCTAAAGAAAAGAAAATACAGGTGTACTTGGGTAGGAGCCCATACCCCCGAATCGTGCAGCTCCCATTGGTACTTTAAAAAAGCCGAGAAGGAAACTAGGCCAAGTTGTCTTTCGCAAAGACATCTGGGATCGTTACTTCTGGGACGCGCCGGTCAGCTATTGGCTAATTGCCCACCTTCGATATTTTTTAACAGTAAACGGAGGCTTAAGGTTCAAAATTGCTAATTCACGACTCTATTGTCTCGCAATTTTCCAAAGAGACTTGGACACAAAGAAAACCAAACCAAATGCAGAAAAATGACCAGAAAGCCTCGGAGTCATATCAGAATTTTAATATATCAATCACGCACTATTTAATTTTCCTGTCTCCAGTAACAGTCCCAGAAGGCTTTGCGAGAGTTATACGGCCCATTTTCCGTCTCGTTTTTGACGTGACGGATACTTCGCCCAAGCAACAGCGTTTTCACAGATTAGGTTATTTTTTATAATTATTTTTGAGCACTTTTTCCTGCGAAAATGGAAGCACCGTTCCGTATGCGTGCGCATCCATACTACGGTAATTTCAAAAAGAGGAAGTAAATGCTATCAAAACATCAGAAGTGCTTTTATCTAATCTCCAGTTTTTTTATGACTGATTTGTAAGACTATTTTGATATTCAAAATTTGCGGGAAAATCGATCTCAGAATAAACTGGTCAGTAAAAACGCCATTGCCTGGACACAAGGGAGGTACTCCCTCCGGGTAATGGGCTTCTGTTAATCTGCAAAAGCCTACTCTTTTATACCTCTTTATAGTATTCACGTGATAAGCTCCTAATTTGGGATGATGGAGAAGTGATGAACGCTTTAACCCCTCATTCTTTTAATTAAAATATTTCGAAAAGACGCCTCTCATGGCTGTATATAAGTTGAAAATGACTCGGTATATTCATACAAAGTAGGAACGGGGTACCATTTTCAATTGGAAGGTGTACGGAGTACCTTTCAGCGAAAAACTAATTAGGGTTTATAACAGGGTAGGAGGGTTGGACCTTGGGTAAGGACAACGTATAAAACTTCGTCTATTATCTTATCTCCAGCGATTACTGTCGTTAGTTTTTATTTTGTCACTCCCATTGGTTTGATGAATATTATTTTTCACTTTCTTGCCATTATTTGTATTTGAAAAGCAGAAAACAAAATAATCTTACCTTTCGAAATACTTGCTAAATCTACCCAAGGAAAAAAAAATTATGTTAGAAAAATTTCAAAGTTTTTTGGAGTTAGATATTCAGCACCACCATATTTTTATAGTTTGCTGAAAAGTTTGAAGTGTTTTAGACATAATTCAGGTCACACGGCAAAAATATGACCCGCGTAACACTTTTAAAGCTATTGCGATTAGATGATACACGGGTGGTACAAGGTTATGTGCTTCTATAGGTAAGTAAAATTTCTACGAAGATTATAGCGTTTTGCCATGATAAAAGGTTAATCACGGCTTTGTTAAAAGTTCAAATTCTTAGACCGAACTTATTGCGCAACCCTTAGGAAATGTTCACTCTATACCAGAAAGCTTCTGCTCTGGAATGAAAACCATACCGGACAAGCATGAGAATGCCGGACACATAAGAATGCTGGACACATAAGAATGCTGATTTCGGGGCGATTTCGGTAACGAAGCGAGACTCCGCCGCCCGGAACTCGAAAGTGGAGCGTCACATATCGGATAGGTCTTCATACTATACCGTATAGTGTGAAAATAGCCTTAATAATAAACACCCACCTTTTAAACTTCTTGCTCGTACAAGATGGCTTGTGAATGAAATGCAGAGGAGCACGACTAAAAGCGCGCAGCTCGTGTATTTAAATTGCATATTTCTTACCCTGGGGTAAATAAGGAAAAATTGTCATAAGAAAGTATTAAAATCAAACGTAATGGAAAAATGCTGTATACCCTAATATCTCCAAGGTGATCACCTGTATTTTCTCTTCACTATGTAGCTATTGTTTCATGTAAGCAGGTATTGAGAATAAAAAGAATTCACAACGACAACATTCAGTTAACCATTATTTACGCAGGTTTAAATGAAAAAAATATTCCTTTGTTTTTACTACAGACTTCAAGAAAAATTTTCTAAGATTGAAATAGTTGAAGATACAGAGGCATAGTAATATTAAAAATAACGTCGCAATATGCAACAGGTCATAGCTAGTTATGTTCTCACTTACTAGACTTAAGATAAAAGTTACAACCTAGGAACACTTTACGTGAAGATTTCAGTTCATTCATCTGCACTCTCCTTGTAGGGAGAAAAAGATTGAACAAGGTTTTTCCATGTTGTGAAGTCTGCTAAACGAGGTTTTCAACGTGATATTTTCATTTATACGAGTATTTATGTGACGGATCACTAAACCGTTTGCTTCTTTGTCTCATTATATCAGACCCCACGGCTTCATAAGATGCTATACCTCGTTCGTCAAATTAATACATACAAAAAATAAAGGCGTTTATAGTGATATACAATACCTTCCTCTTTAGGTCTCGAGCAGCAAAGAGGAGAGGGCTGTTAAAGAAATCTCACTAGCGAAAAATGTCCCTTATTCGCTGAATTATTAACTCTTTCGGCTGGTACTTGTTCCTAACCTTGCCCTGGTCTTAGTAAACAACGCATGCGCACTAATGTTGTGAGTCATTCTCGATAAGGTAATTTATCGAACACAGGCGTGATCTTTTACTTGTTCTGCGATCAAAATCTCTCCGAGGATGTCTTTTAAAAACAGCAATGAAGCTTTTTTTATTTAGTTTTTTATAATCCAAGGTTTCGTATATGTGGGGAGACTTAGTTTCAAGCCTCAAAACTTCCTTTCTAGCTTCGCGAATCATGTCCAAGCGGATAACATCGAGAAAGAATCATATCTAAAATAATAAAAAAAAAGTGGCCAAAACTGTATAATCTCTTGACGTTGAGAGGACCGTTCGTCAAAATAAACGTTGAAAGGTCCGGCCAAAAAACGCGAGATTGATACCTGTCGATTAGAACTGGTGTTTTGGATAGAAGTGTTATCGAATTAACCACGTGACTAACATCAATTACTTTTGTCAGAGCACAAGCTGGGTCGAGCGTGATTGCATGGATTCGAGGTTAATGGCAATGGCAACAACAGCAACAACATGCTTTATTTGCAAAATCATAACAAGTTACAATACAATAATAACAATATCAATATATGCCCCTCCATGTATAAGCCCCTCCAAATATAAGCCCCCCAAACTCGTAACGCAAAAAAACCCTCCGTTAAATAGCCCCTCCAAATAGAAGCCCCCCGGGAGCTTGTACTTGGAAAATTGCCCTCAAATACAAAGTAGAACAAAGCGAAGCCCAAACGATGTTGAGACGCAAATTTCCCTCCATAGATAAGCCCCTCCGAATATAAGCCCCTCCAAAAATAAGCCCCTCAAAAAGGACCTTTGAAAAATATAATCCCCGGGGCTTATTTTCGGAATTTTACGGTATTGTTAAATGAATCAATAAATTGGTAAATAAATAAATAAATAAATAAATGAAATACTTTAAATTTCTGGGAAAGGTTATCCCAAAGTGAGGCAGGGCGTCGTTAAACGATTTCCAACCTCCACATTAACTGCTGCTGTTGTTTTTAAAAAACTATTGTAGTGCGTCAGTCGATCGGTCGTTCGGTCGCTCGGTCAGTCGCTTTGTTTAACATTGTCAGTCAGTGAGCAAGTCAGTGAGTTATAAAGTCAGCTGTCGGACGGCCAGTCAGTTGGACCAGGTCGTTTGATCGGTCGGCTAGCAATTAGTCAGTCAGTTAGTCAGTCAGTCAGTCAGTCAGTCAGTCAGTCAGAATTCAGTCAGTAAGTCGGTAAGTCAGTAAGTCAGTCAGTCAGTCAGTCAATCAATTAGTCAGTCAGACAGTCAGGTGGTGAGTAGATTGATACGTTCGTCAGTAGGTCAGTCCGCTAATGGGCTAGTGAGTCAATTAGACGGACAGATATCAACTCTGTTATTTAGTTTGACTGTCGGCCATGAAACCAACAAGGTGTTAGTCCTGTTGGCCAGTCTTTTGTCAATAAGGGACGGTCAGTACACCAGTTAGTTAATGTACTAATTCAAGCAGGTTTCACCCAATCGAGTACCTTTCAATAGAGATAAATGCACTGTGACAAATAGGTAGAATTGTCGATGAAATTGATTCCTCCGGAACTCGTAGCTTGCATTTGCTAAACATTTAAGAGTAATCAACTGTACTTGTCTCCCACGCAGACGTTCTTAGGGGTTGATCACGCGTTCCTGTCCCACGAACGTCTGCTGGCTTGAGCGGAAAAAAACGTAGACCAATCACGGTAGACTTCCAGATCTGGGAAGTGCACTTTGGACCTTGAGAAATTTCGCGCTTGACTTTATAGCTCCAGAAAAGATCAGAAAGGTCTCATGAAAGGTGAAGACCTTACAGTTTTAGAACATACTACTCAGTTAACTCACAAGCGTTCGTACTAATGGCTACCTAATGGTTTCTCAGAATCTCGTTGAAAAAAATTACCTCGGAGGTTAAATTTGCTGAACGGAAGTCGCCTTTACTACAAAACAATAACGTGTCAAAAAAATTCTTCCTTTTGTTCAGTCTTACAAGGTAACCCCGCCGTTGCATCACCCAAAGAACAACTTTATGAGCAAATGACATCTAATCCAGCCTTTACAGAGAGAGAAATATACAAAAAGCCAACGCTTATCTCCTTTAATCTAGCTTAATCTCGTCAAGAGCGAAAATCTTTGATCATGTATCACACTCTGCGGAACTAGTACGTACGTTTTTGGCTTCTCAACACTTTGACTTCAACAACGCCGATTGTATCTCCGATGATCTGCATGTGATCTCCAGCCGATATTTGTGAACAATGGGAAAGGAATTTATCTTTCAGTTCAGCAGACGTTGATGGGGCAGGAACGCTAGACGAACCGCTAAGAACGTCTGCGTGGGAGGCTACAACTGTGGAGAATTATTTTTTCAACCTGTCGCCATATCTTTACTCCTTGAAAGAGTGATTAACATCTATTTTCTCTTTACCCTCTCCATACGTCATGTAATCTACCATCATATAGAGATATAGGGAGGGCATGATCGCAGGTTATACGTCACGAAGAGAAAGGCTTTGAGAATTACACTGGGAAAATATTTTGATATTTTATTCAAAATTCCTCTCAATTAATTCTTTAAGGAAGTGGATGGATCACCCCATGTAAGGGAATGCAAGACAGTATGGGATTCTGGATTCCACGCCTTGAATTCCGGATTCCAGGTACAAGATTCCAATCGTTAGTGGGTTTATGGATTGATTGACAGGTATTCCGGATTCCAAAGCCCACGATTCCGGATTCCACGAGCAAAATTGTCCTGGATGCCGGCACCAACCAAAAATTTCCCGGTGTCCGGAATCTGGATTCTCTTACATGGGGCGAAGATGGAGGTCAGTGTGGAACGTCCTGGGAATTCCTCCTCTCGGGCTTAAAAGACCCTTGTACAGCTCGCGTTAGGAGTTGCCATATTAACAAAACAAAATGAGACATTAAAAAAATAGAGGGAAAACTATTTTTTTTATTGAAAAACAAAGTTATCAGTTTGTTGTCTCCTATACATATTTCTACTTTCAATTCTTTGATCATTGTCCGATAACTGAGGATAATGAAATTTTCATTTCAAGTGTGGAATGTAATGCTCATGTACTATTTCAAATATATGGAACACTAAATCAACGAAACCACTTTTCTAGCTACACATGATTATGATGAATAAATAAAGATAAAGATGAAAAGATACAAACAGACAAAACTTATTTTGAAGTAAACAATTTGATGAGTATTTGATCCAAGAACTTATGTCTTTTATTAACTTATTACCACTACTTGCATCAGTATTTTGGCGATTTTCACAAAATGCTCATTGTTTTAACGCTTTGTCCTAAGTTAATAGCTATTTAGTGGGTAAAATCGTGCGATTTTAGAAAGTGGAAATTCTCATTTCGTAGTTTCTTTACACCCGTTTAAGGTAGGAGTAATTTCAAACTTGACGTATGGTGTATTTTATATAGTGAGTATTTTAGACTCTACATGAATAAACACGGCAATAGAAAATGCTTGATCAACGTGGAACATGTAACAGTTAAGGTGATAAAATAACAATTTTGTTTTCAGAGACGTCGCTAATATGGTAGTCATGTTTATTGTTTACTGTGGTTTATCTTCGTCTGTTTTGACAGCAGCGCTGGGGGCATTGAGCCTGCGGTGCACATCCACCAGGTGCAGCTGGTTGACAGGCTTGTGGACATGCTTGCTGTTGTTGCATCGGAGGCGTTGGGGGCATCTGGGGCATGACAGGCATCATAGGTTGTTGCTGTGGAAACGGCATTCCCATGGGCATGCCCATTGATCCAGAACAGCAACTTGGTTGACAAGCAGGAGCGCATGACTGTGAGCACGGCGAGGCGCAGCTTGAAGACTGCGTGACATTTGGTTTAGGTGTAGCTGGAGGTAATTCAAGGTACTGTGGTGCACCCATCATGCCGCCTGCAGCCTGTGGTTGGTACTGGGGCTGTGAACTGCAGCAAGTCGAAGGACAGGCGCTGGGACAAGGTGCTGCAGAACATTGCTGAGGACATTGTCCAGCTCTAGGTTGCTGAGGGTATGGGGCTAGCTGCTGTGGTTGGGCCATCTGTGGCATTGGAAGATACTGTGGCTGTGGCATCTGAGGGTACTGTTGCTGTTGCGGGTATCCGTAAGGTGACTGTTGTTGGTACGGGGAAGGATAGGGGACTTGACCTGCTACCTGAGACATGGGACTAGATGGTGGAGTGTTGCAGCATGTTGATTGGCAGCCTGGAGCACAGACATCTGGGCAGGAACCAGCGCAGGTTTGACTAACTAGGATTCAAATGGTCAAAATCTTAATTCAGTTCTTAGATTAAGACTCCGATTTGTTTTAAAAATAATTACTTTGTTTATTTCAAAGAAAATATAAACAAACGAAAAGGTGGAGAGAAAAAGTGTTCCCCTTGATGGCAAGAACGATGGGTGGGGACAAACTCGAGATCAACCGGCCAGTGCGCCATCCTCGTCACCAGGGCTTTTCCGTTTGCTCATCCCTTCCATTTTCTAAGAAAAAAGCCTTGGGGACGAATTTGACAATTCGTATGCAAGGTAAGGCACTGAATTATTTCACCTTCCCAACAATGCAAACAAAGACAAGAGACAGATTTCCTACACTTGTTTATAGAGCTCATTGGAGAGTAAGACTGGTGATAAAACCTTACTATTTTTGAAGTGTGACACAGAACTGTTCTGAACGAACAATTAAAAGCAACACTAATACTATAGTAAAAATCTTACCCCTCCTTGTTCCTGTAGCATCTAAAATAGCTTGAATCGCTTTACCAGCTTTAGCGAGGTTTTCTAAGAAAAATAAATTAATCCAGACTTATGAACAGGGACGTTTACTCCTAAAGGAAAACTAGATACTGAGCAGTGCTTTCCTCTTTAGCACTATGTACTATATGTATACTGAACAATTCTAATGAAACGTTTGAGTCTCTGGATAAAATTCTGAATAAAGGTTCAATTGAATCTACCAAACATGTTAAATTGTGACATTGTTTATTGTCACTATAATTATCCTCTGTTGCGTGGTTCTATAAGACATCCGTGAGAAAATGCTAGAGATTGACCATTCTGTTGAAATTTTCATCTTTTTTCTCCATTAAATAAGGGAGGTGCAGGGGGATAGAATACCGATGAAAATATGATTTTATGTCTTTTTTTACCTATGCTTGAGTCCAAAAGGTCTCTGAGGGATCCTTGATCGTCATCGTCTGTTTAAAAATCAATTGATTATGGAGTATGTAAGTCATTTGGCAAATGATACTGCCAAAGTTGAGCAAGCAACCGTAGTGACCAAGCATATCGATCCTAAATTGTTCCTTTTTCTCGTGAACAAGTAGTGTTCATCAAGAACAACGGTCAGCAGGTGAACGAAAGAAAAAAGGCCTAAAAGAAAAGCCGATCGGCGTTCCCTTTCCTTGGACAGGACACAACTGTAAAGAAGCGAACGTTTTGGCTATTGAATAATATCTGTTCATTAATTAATTGTTGCCACGGATCTAGACTGGAGGACGACGGGACCATTAACAATTTGCTGTTTTCTTTGAAATGGTGCCTGTTTTTCTATCAAGCATAGGGAACATTAAATTAGTACCTTCATGGTGAATTTTCTTTTTCTTTGGTCTTATATGTGCGACATGGTCTTTAGCTTTCTCTCCTTCTTCCTTCGTTTTCTCTTCTGTGGGTTTGGCAACATATTCTGATAAATCAAGGCTAATTCTGATAAGTTATGACTTTTAACTAAATTAATTAAGATCCCGTTATGATTAATATGGTCGAAACGTTTGAGACACTTAGTCATGTGTACATGTAATCTGTGCCTTTTCAATAACTCCCTTTCCCCGGCCCCGGACGTTGAACATTGAGAGTCTCAGGTTATAAACATTAGTTTTAAAAAAATTGGGGAAGTGCATGAAATTCAGCTTTGTTAAGGAGGTGGGTGGGGACGGCAGGGGGAAAACTTACGCAAAGCGAGCAGTATTTATAACTGTGAATTGCCGCATACTCTCAAATTTTCTACCAGAAGAGGAGAGAAAAGGAAGTGTCCCAAACCTTTTTGGCCAGGTTCGTAGATGAGGGAGCTTAAGTAGCCGCGACCAAAACGACAACGTCAAAAAACAATTAGGAGCAAAGCAATAGCTCTGCAAGTACATCATGCTTTTTAGTACATTTCTTTGACGTCCGCTGCACGGCTACGACGTGAAACCTTCGACGATAACGAATTTTCTTTACCCTTTTAGAACCTGGATAAAGTCGTTAAAAATTAAACTCTAGGAGAAATCGCATTACAGTTCACAAATTGGGAAGGTCCAAATAGACGAGATAAAGTTTGACTGGACGGCAATTTCAATGCCTCCGTCGTCTTCGCCGTTGCTTAAGCTCCCTATTAACGCTTGGCCAATTTAAATTGGAAACTGAACTGTTAACTGACTATCAGCGACTCAGCACGATTGTCTATAGTAATTTTTATACCTTTCATATCAACTTCAGGTTCAGCAACGAAGTCAAGACCACTTCCGCTTAGGTCATCTTCTGTACAAATAAAATTAAAATTAAAAATAATGGCAGGATAAGTGCCCTGTCAAGGTGACAGACGAGGTAAGTTGAAATCTTAATCTGAAACCGAACACAGATCTACCATCATGGACATAGGTCTTGGAACACTTTCGTATTTGTGGAGCTCTTTTTTAATCCACACATGCTCAGCCCCCCCTTCCGCACAAACAACGTTGGACGCGTGCATCCAGAATTTTTTTTTTTTCCGAGTTTCATTATTGTGTAGGCTGGCAAGAGGGAGAACTGCAAGAAAATTTCGAAAAGGATGCACTGTTTAATAAGGGTACTCAGAGATTGCAGAAAATTGTGATTACTGCATTACTGTCCCAAGGACTTTAGTCCAGGATTGTAAGTCTTGAAAGGCTTTTCCTTTAAGGAAGAACTTTTTTTAACTTTTCTGGTGTCTATCGCTAACTTCCGCAAAGTCCAAAGTGCATTTCCTAGACCTGGAAGTGTGCTATAATTGGTCTACGTTTTTAACCACTCTTTTCAGCCGACTTCGTCGGGGAGAATCGAGTGTCGAGCCAAAAGAATGTCTGCATGGGAGGTTAGGTTACCCATGAAATTTATATCTTTAAGAAACGGTCCAGATAAGAATGATAGCACTGAACGGCAACAAACATGTTGGAATGCAAAAAAGGTGCTAACTTTTCTATTGGCTGTACTTACTTCTGATTGGCTTAAACAGCAAAAGTTAACAAAACTTCATAAAGCAGTACATATATTCAGCCTTACTTTCCAGTTTGAATAACAAAGAAATCCTATGTGGGGAACATGTAAAATTGTAAACTTTTCTTGGCTGTTGTTTTCAACTCTTGTAATTGGTGAAAATCTTTTAACACAAAAAAAACCCTCTCAAAGTGGAGTGTAAATGCATTTTATTGCGTAAACGGCCTTCATGTAGGGTTAAGCATTCTCTGTGTAAAAATGAGAACATTCCTATGTGGGGAAAGCACCGTTGCCGCATAACAAAAGAAATTGCTATCCACCTTACCCGGATCATTACTTAATACACGAGACTTGTGCCAATATAAACGAGAAGCGTCTTTTGCCATGTTGAATATATTACAATTTCAATACTTATAATATATTACAATTTTTATACTATTTACTTTTTAAAAAGAGCTTTGAGACACCGTCAACAAAGTCTTTCCCTCAGTTGATAAAATTTGTAACGTTCGGTAGTATCTACCTGACTTCACTAATTGTATGTCTTCTGGTTTTTCTTCTACTTTCTTTTCTCGTTCGTGTTTTGCCACCTTGTGTCGAAGAAAGTTCTTGAGATGCTTGTGCCCTGTTGGGGAATAAGATTTGTGACCTTTGCTTTAAAACGTTTTTGAGAGACAATTGGAGAACATACTCTGAGCAAGCAATGTTCATTCGCATTGCTCTGCTGCATTATTTTATCCAAAAGTATTTAAAAAAGGGTCTTTTGACGGCTTATCAGCATTGCTAGAAAGGATGGTTTAAGTTAGACATGCATAATGATAAACAGTTTTTTAATTATACTTTTAGCATCAAAAACAGCTCTGCTGAGGAAATAGATCACGCCAGCCCAAGGGAAAGTATACGGAGTAACAAAACTCAACCTACTTTTGAAATGCCTCCTGGGTTCAAACCTTTCACAAAGTGTTTTACATGGAAACGCAAACGAGGCGTAATCAAATCCAATTTTCAGCGTCCATGTTTTCGGCATTTTGTGAAGCAAAGTTTATCGAGATTTTATTTTTTTGTTACAAGAAAGCCGAGACACAGACTTACGAATAGTCTGACCTTAAAAGTCTCGTAATTGTAGAAAAAAACTGTATGCGATTATACTGGGAAAAGAAATTCTATCAATAAAATAAGTTTATATTTTCAGCTGCGTTTTATTTTCTTATTTTCAAAAATGTTTGGAAATAGAAATAGTTAAGTAACGAAAAAAAATTCTGTCACAGAAACTGAAAAAAAAAAGTCCATTACAAGATGGTTAAAAGACGTTAGAAAATGTTTGCTTTGACACCGCAGAGTCAGTCTAATATGTGCAGTGGTTCTTAAAACAGCTTCAATGAGGCACCTTTTGCAAACAAAAGCACCTGGAAAAAAATAAATAATTTAAATGTAACTTGAAGGACATGTAATTATTGCCAAAAATTTCGTTTCGAAAGCAATGAAAACTGTGATCGGTGAACCATATTTTATTTGCGATTCGCATTGCTACTTGACAGTGCTAATCGAAGCTCAAGAAGGCATGGTTACACAGTTGACACGATTCAGTAAATCAAAACAAGATCATGTAAATCACTCCAAAGTTACATTAAAGCTAAGGTTACAAACGGCTTTTCAAAAGCCGCAATAGTTTGGCTTTTGTTTTGCTTTGAAGGGATTATTTTGTTTGTGTAGTACATTGGAATCTCGATATAACAAACCACTATGTAAAGACGTCCTACAATCATGGACAAAAGCCTTGGGACAGTTGTATAGTTCGGACGCTTTTTAACAAACACTCCAAATTGTATCCGCGCGCTACTGACACTGTACGTCCCTACCGCCTCCCCCCACACCACGGACAGTGTTGAAACCGTCAAGGCACAATTCCTTTGATCTTTCAACATTGTATTGGGTGGGGAGGGGGGAGGGGACATGGGTTTTTAAAACGACAGCACTGCTTTTTGCGACATTACTTGTGAAACGCATAGAATTGAGGTTACGTTCTGACTGTCCCAAGGACTTTTGTCCATGATTGTAGGTATAACGAACGATTTTCTTAACCCCAGTAATAGTAAAGATATATGAAATTAAAAGAACTTCGATTTAACAAAACCTCGTTATAGCGAACAAATTTCGCCAGTCCCCCGGAACTTCGGGTTATATCGAGGTTTCACTTTTATCAGTATCCAAATTAATTTTCGACTTACGGTGATGTTTTCCTTTTGCTTCTGTCAATGTCGTGAAAAGCAAGACTACAGTAAAAAGTAGTGCTATTGTCAACAATGTCTGGTTCATCTGTCAAAATGAAGAGAATATAACTAATGAAATGTGATAACTCATATCAAAAGTTTTTGAAAGCTGAACGACTCCTCTAACCTCGCTGTATAACCTCACTTTCTTCGAACCAAAATTTCTATAGAACGACTTTCTACAAAATTTTCGTGAAATTGAAATTTACATTCTAGGATCTAAAAATACGTCCCTAAAATCAGAAGCAGTAGATAAGGTTAATCTAACTACAGTTGTTGGAAGATGCGAGGGTATTCTAAGAGCGTGAAGAATACAATAATCGAAACGTAACCATACATGTGCACATAAACTTCATTTAGTTAGGTCAAACTTTTTCATTTGCATATACTTTGAATCGATATCTGTAAAATTTTCCAGACGTACCGTATATTTTTCACGTTTTTCCTCCAAAGATCTTCGTCGTAACACCACCACCAATAGGTTATGATTATCTTTTTGATGCTTTCTTCGAGTTTAGTTATAAATAATTCAAGACTCTTTGTTCTTGGTAATAAAAAGATTCTCTTTGTTTCAGTGAACTGGTGTCGCACTGTCCATTTCACTATTGAAAAGCAAGGATTTTTTAAATTAGTGGTAACGGTACTGCCTTGGAAACCTCGAACGATGGGCAGTCTCGCTTTCTAGCACTTCCCACATTATTGGTCACTTTCATTTTA